CAAAAGTTAAACAGAAAAAAATTATCCAAAAGTTTTAAAAAATAATATGTAATTCTTAACCAGTGAAATTTGTCACTAATATTGACAGGAATAATTACATCGTCAACAGTGTCCCATGGAATGTTGGCAAGCAATTTGAAGCCTCTAATGCATTGTCCAACATTGTGGTTGGGGGAGATGGATCTCATGCCGCAATTTGACTCTCTCCACTGTTTCTCAATGTTATTGACCCACGACATAAACCAACAATCAACAGTGTTGTATGATAATGGACTTGAAGAGTAATTAGCCTTCTTTCGCAGATAATACATAATGCTATTGACATGCTGTTACCAACAAAATTCGAATTTGAGTCGGAATCAGACTTTGAAGGAGTTTCAACAAGTTTTTTCCCCTTCCTCTGAGGATTGCTCAAGGGATCCCAGTATGTTGTAGTCCGAGGATCTGATGAAAGATGAGCCTTTTCATTGGAATAGGCTTGTTGAGATACTAGTTCAAAACCTTCTTTAATCTGTAAGAGAACATGAGAAATTAAAAATCCATCATGAATTTGAAAGGAAATTCCTTCCAACATATAATGTCATTTAACATTAGACTTGCCCCAGCAGACTGGGTAATCAATTTTGATGTTGGACTAGATGAGAAAGAATGGAGAAAGTTTGATAGTGGGTTGTGGGTTGAGTCGTGTGGGAGTGAAGAAACGTGTGGGATGGTGGTGTGATCAATGATTGGGGATGATAACGGTAAACAAGGAAAGGAAATCCCTAAAATTGGGTAACTGAAAATTTTAGTTTTTTAAAAAAGGAAGTAAAATAAAATTAATGATCTATTATTAATTAATAATAAAAACTATAAATAGATTAATAATTTATTAAATAAATATAATTTAATTTAAATTAAATTAAATTTAACTGATATGTCATAGCCTGTAAATAATCTGTTATAAGCAAGAAATTTTTAAAAGTAGGTTTAAAACCCGTAATATTTACTCTTAAATGTGTATATGGAGTGATTTTTTCATATTTTAACGTGTTATTAACTAATTCAAATATTATTTGAGAATAAATATTGAATCATAGTTTAATCGACTTAATTAATGTGTGAAAGACGTGGATATTTATCGTCGACAAAATAGATAGAGAGTTTCGGCATGTGTTACGCTACTTTTTTTCTTTTCAACTTCACACATGGCATACCTAAGACATAAAAGTTAAGTACTAATTATTATCTCATTTTATTTAAGATAACTAAGTTATTAGTAGTATTTTATTTTTTCAGTTCGTTTCAATTTATGTGTGATAGTTGGAATTTAAAATTTAAAATTTCTAAATTTTTATCGTGAATTTGGATATAGAATTTTAAGTTCTTTAATATAAAATTATTATAAATCATAATAATTGACAAATAAAATATTTGAAAGGTATATAAAAGAAATTGATTACTTCATATTTGATTGACTCTCAAAATTTAAATTGTGCAACATAAATTGGGACATAGGTAGCATCAACGATATTCCTTTAGCCATCATTATTGAAACATATTGAAAGATTAGTTTGAGCAGTAATTTAAGCAAAATAAATTTGTTTCCTTGACGCTCTTTTTTTTTTTTTTTTTTTTTTTTTTTTTTTTTTTTTTACTCTTAAAAATTGTTATCTCGAATATCTTTATCGATCTTTGCTAGCTAGATGGCGGACTTCATGGATGCCAATGACCATGACGACCCTAAAGGGTTATTTACTTGCGATCCAGAAAATTCAAAATTTAAATTTGACGAATTAAATTTTTGGTTTGTTAGTTCTTTGTTTGAAACTATTAAGTACAATATGTATACCTCTAGGAATTAGGGTATACATGATATTGTTTTTTTTCCTTTTAAATTTTTTAAAGGAGAGTATGGATGGGCCATTGTAGCCTCAAATAGACACAGAATTCCAAGCCCATATAGCTTTCATTGGGCTTTGAATAAAAAAGATTTGGGCTTTAGCTTTCATTGCTTATGTGCTTTGCTCTCAACTAATTTGGATTCAAAATGTTTTATTGCATTTTCTCCTTGAGCATTATAATGCTTGAGTTATAATACACATTGTCAAAAGTCAAAACCCCTTATATTTAAATCCTAAAGCATTACATACAATTCAATCCAATAAAGTATCTTTAGTTTTCACCAACAGTTTCCTTTGAATTATAGGAGAAATCAATAAACACATTTAAACTATAATTATTATTTTTAGTTTCATATCCCAATAATTCATTGTTCTCTTTACCTACTTATGTTATCACTCCCTTTATATTAAAACACACCTCGATGCTGACTTGACCAAATATTATTCCCACTTGACAACAAGTGTGTGTAGGCCAACTTAGTATCGAGGTATATATGTTTAATTACAAAGAGAGTCATAATTTAGGTAGGTAAAATGAAATAATGGATAGTTGAGACATGAAACTCGTGAAAATGTGCTTTTTTAAAAATCATTAACTCATTTACTAATCCCAGAAAAACAAAATAAAAAAATTGTGACCTCTAGTCGTACCGGGAAAAAGAGAGGCACTCGACTAGAAGGAGTGGATGATAAGCACAAAGGGAAGACTCTGCTATGTGATGACACTAGCTCTGTGCATGAATTCTTCTTTGATTGAAGGAACGGGACAAAAGGAAACCAGAATTACCATATCCTTCGCACGTTATCTTATCAAGTTAACGACAAATTTATTTTCCTAATTTAATTTTACTCTCCTTATCCTTAGTATTAATTAGTTAAAAAATATTTGAAGTTTAGTTGAAAGAAAGATCCAAGCTTTTCAAATTAATGTTGGAACAAAAATATCATGCAAATCATGTATTAGTCTACTAGATGATCTCTCTCAACATGTAATCCATTTCCATGTTGTCTTTTCATAATCATCAATTGATTCATTTCCATATTGTATTGTCATAATTGTCAATTGAGTTTGAACATACATACCACAAAATTGTTCAAACTAATATCTTAAGATAACGATTTGTAAATTCAACTTCATCATTTTCACCCTTTCACAAATCGTACAAATGGATTTTTTTTTTTCCATGGCATTATTGATGATTGAGATCTACAATCGTAACGACACAAACATACAAACAAATACAAATACAGGAATAATAAAATCAATCATCTTCACTCAAACGGGAAGCATCGTAGCACAAAATACACTTCTAAGTAATTGCCTAATTATATCCCTGCATATATATTACTTATCCTATAATTCCTAGAATTAAAGAACGCAAAAGGTTGGGAAAAAAAACCTTATTCCCCCAAGCCAGTTGGTATCTGTACATGCAGTTATCTTTAGATTAATTTAGCTTGAACTCGACGATCCCCCTGGTGTTCTTGGAGCTACACAAACAATTAACAAAATAAGTTAATACTATATATTACACTAATCATATTCAAAAATTAATTAATGTAATTATGAGAAGGAAGTTAATTAGATTAATTACCTAATCCAATAGCCTCCGTGCTCTTCATCAACCTAATTCTCTTACACGTATCAACAAACATTCTGTACAGTAAAAATAATAATCATATAAATCAGCAAATGAAACATCTTATCAGCTCATTGACTATCAAAATTATTATCTGGTTGGTAAGGGTTCGATTCCCCATCTTGTAATCTAACAGACAAAAAGAATAAGAGAAAAACATACTTCCATGGAACATCTCCAACAAGCATCCAGTCTCCATCTTTATCTTCGTAAGTAGGTACATATTCTACACCATTTGTAAGGTCCATAAGCTTGCTTTCACTTTGAGAATTACCTGAATTACGATTCGATTCATACAAATCGACGAAATTTATTATATGATGGAATTAATTAAAGGAACAAAAAAAAAAATTGAAAAAATGAATCTTCAAATTAGTATACTTACAGATTGTTAGGCAGGTAAACATGTTTTCTAAAGCATTTAACAACTTCTGGTAACTATCGTACATTTCCAGATCTACTTTTCTCAAGTAAGGAGCTCCGTCAACTGCCACCTTCACGTACTTGCACTTTTCTATCACGTTTTTTCTGTATGATCTCACCGGCGGCCATCCAATTACTTGAGCCCTAATATCATAATTCACAATTAAATTGTGCATAAATACGGGAGAGTAAAAATTAAAATTACGTGTCTTCATGACTTACTTTGCTGGAGGTTTGTTTCCGGTAGAGATTTCGTTTTTCGAGTGATCATCTTCACGGCGGCGTTCGCCTGAAGTTGAGCTTCCTAGGATTAATTCCATACCGTCGGAGATTCCACGTTTTGTACCGGAGATTTGCTTCCGCGATTCTCCGGGTAAGCCGAGAGTGAGCTCTGTTTCATTGAAATTGAGGCCGGAATTATCGGTTTCCGTCAAGCCGTTCGCTAATTTGGCTCTCTCCAATGACATTTTTTACCCTTTTAGATAGTTTGGTGAAGTGAGATATCTTTTGGTGCTTTGAAAAATGCGGTTAGGCCACTATATATGCTCTCGGGTAGGTGGACGGAGCACGGAGGCTTTCATGTTGGCCATTCTTATTGCGACGCGTGTCAACAGATGAACGGTTCAGATGTGGAGTCTTTTTTTTTTCTTTTTCCACACGATATCCGTATTAACACTAGAGTCTAATTATTTCAAATTCACACCAGGTAAAACTCCGTTCAAGAGTAGTGTTATGTATCAAGAATCCGCTCGAAATCGAGATCTCTAATTTATAAATGGAATAACCTCGCCTACCGTACCATATTCAATAATGGTGAAAGGAGTGGAGTGTCATTTTGTTTATTTAACTCTGCGGGGTTGTGGTAGGCTGAAAATTGTTGCACAGCAGAAATCCGATTTATCAGATTCTGATATTATTGATTGATTTGGGAGTATATGCAAAAATTTGACACCTTTTATAAGTCTTAATAATAGTAATGTAGAAATTTGTACATAAACCCTCAATAGAGAATTAGATACGTATTAAACATAAAGTCTCAATTGTCATGACACGTCTGCCCATACATGAATCTGCACGTGCTTGTTTAGTAGATTATTCAATCAAACTTGATAGTCTCTAAAATCCAAATTGCATATGCATGCATGATATTTATTATCAAGAAAAAACTTCAAGTTTAATGTTTTGCATCGAAATATTATATAAATGGGAGTTAACTTTAATTCAAAGATAACTTTATACCGTGTGATTGACTGATTGTACCCTTTGAACTAAGTCCGGGTAGTTTTTTCTCCAAAGGATTCATACTATAAACTAAAATAAATAAATAAATAAGAAAGTTGAGATGACAATACCAAAGAAAAAAAATTGACAACAAAATAATCAATATAAAAAGTAAATAATAGTAGTATTACTATCGAAGAATAAGGTAATGGTGGAATAATACTTTTTCCGTCCTATAATACTTGTGTCGACATCGTAGCATATAAATATATATATATATATATATATATATAT